GTTCCTCCGGCGACTCACCCTTTTCCCTCTCCCTTTCTCTCCCGCCTGTATCCCACAGGCCACAGCGCCTCCCATCATCCAGAACCACGGCACCGCGTCCCTTGCGTCCCTTGATTCCCACATCTGCACGGCCATTGGTCGACTCACCAGCCGTCGCACGCGGGACCTACTCCTCATCCTCTCCTCCCCTCGGTAAGTGCTCCTGTATTCTCTCCTGGAAGGGCCCAGCTCCTCTTCCTCACCGCCGCTTCACTCACCGCCCTTGACTCGCACATCTGCACGGCAATCGGTCGACTCACCAGCCGTCGCACGCGGGACCTGCTCCTCATCCTCTCCTCCCCACGGTACGTTTTTTCCACTCTTCTCTGCGTACAGTAGCGACGTGTATGAAGAAGTGTTTTGAGATGTCTCAAAGCGTTCTTTCCACTCTTCTCTGCGCACAGTAGCGATCACCCTTCCTCTACACCCCTGCTGACTTTTGAGTTGACTCAGAAGACCACTCTTCTCTGCGTACAGTAGCGACCACCCTTCCTCCACACCCCTGCTCTCCCTCAACAACCCTTTCCCTCCTACATGTGTTCGGCCACGTGATAAAAAAGTTGTTTTGACACGTCTCAAAACCACCCTTCCTCTACATCCCTGCTCTCCCTCCACAGCCCCTTCCCTCCTACAAGTGTTCGGCCATTTGTTGACTCACCAGCCACCAAAACAGCTTTTTTTTCTGCTTCCGCTTCTCCTCTTTTGTCTGTCTCCTTTTCTCCTTTGGCCTTCCAGCTTCTTGGATCGGCTGGAGCAATCATTGCTGCAGAAGAAGACAAATGAGGCGAGGCTGCTGGATAGCATAGGCGAGCTGGAGAGGCGGCGGAGAGAGATCCGGGCGGCGCTGGCTGATGCGTGGCCTAAACTGGTGAGTTGCATGGCATGGCATGGCATGGCATGGCATGGCATGGCATGGCATGGCATGGCATGGCACGGGATGATGTGCCATGGTGTGGCTTGGTGTGGCATGGTGATGCATGGTGTGTGGCATGGAATGGTGTGACATGCGGTGGCATGGTGTGGCATGATTGTCACAACCCTTCACACAAAAATTGTGCACTCACACCCCCTCGGTGGTGCAATGAACACGGGCCTACAAGGAAGCAATTTTTGAGGCGCCTCAAAAAACACACCCCCTCGGTGGTGCAATGAACACAGGCCTACAAGGAAGCAAGTGCTTCCTCAGTGAGCATACAACCACACACTCCCATTCCCTCTCCTTCCCTCCCTTCATCACCCCCAGGAGGCTGTGGTGCAGCGAACACGAGCCTACAAGGCAGCCGGTGGTTTCTCTGAAGCCATACATCCACACACTCACCCACTCTCCTTCCCTCCCTTCACCCCTCCCACATGAAGCCTACGAGGCAGCATGTGGCTTCTCTGAAAACATACATCCACGCACTCACCCGCTCTCCCTCCCTCTCCCCCCCCCCCCCCCTAGGAGGCTGTGGTGCAAAGAACACGAGCCTACAAGACAGCAGCAGAGGCGGCGCTCTCTGCAATGTATTCAAACCGCCCCGTTCACATCATTGGGGAGATTAATAACGTGCTGCAGGCCACTGCCCCTGCTGGGGGTGGGTAGAGAGAGTATGGCTGAGATGAGCTAAATCTGAGATTAAGCATGCGCGCTATTCCCCAGATGGTGTGTGCAGTGCAGTGCAGTGCAGTTCATACTGTTTGAGAGATTGATTGATACTCGTGTCATGCGATGTGAGGAATACCGTAGCTAACACCACTGCTGTCATGGGGCAACAAACGGTAATTATTTCCGACATTCCACCAGTTACTGCGACGATGTTGCACTTCTACCACCGGTAGCTGTCAGACAGATACCGTACATGCAAGGCAGACATACAGGTTTCTTTATAAAGGAGAAGTGAAGTGGCAATGGGAAGGCAGAGGCAAGGCATTGCTGGTCGTGTGGAGAACTGCCTATGCAAGGTAGCTTTGGGAAGGCTCACAAGCATACCATACACAAAAGTTACAAAGATCATAAAATACAATGTGTGCTTACAAGTGTACAGCTGCGTAGTGGCATGTATGCAGTGGAGAGTGATCAAACACCACGGAGCAATTCGAATAAATCCCAGCAAACTTCGCAAAGGTGCTGAGAGTGTGCGTACCCCCTACAAGCACTGCTCCTCGACTCAACAAGAAGAAATCCGCTACAGTAGCCAACTTCGAACCTGTATCCTTAGAAGTTGATAAATGTGCAGTTTGGCCCATCGAAGCGAAAACGTTTCCGAATGGCCGTAGCAGCTCCACAAAATGCGGGCGTAGATACTCATTATCCGTGGATAAGAAAATATTTAGAGCAGAGAGTCGGGGAATGCGGAACATAGATGTTTGCCTTGGGGACCGACCAGGGACTGGCACCAAACCTGCAATCAACAAGTGGATGAAGAAATGTTGATGAAGGTTGAGTTGAGAATAAGTTGAAAGGCAAAGAACTGGCGAAAGTGAAGGACAGGATACGTGTGAGAGGTGTGGACGACAGGAAGTGTCCAGCACGTGGAAGGCTTTTGAGACGTCTCAAAAGGGACGACTTTCGAGGCGTCTCAGAAGGAGACGACTTTTGAGACGTCTGAGAAGGACAGGATACATGTGAGAGGTCTGGACGACAGGAAGTGTCCAGCACGTGGAAGGTGAAAGAAGTGAGTTGTCAGCGATTCTGACAGGTGCTTATGAGAATTCTCAAGGTGCTTATGAGAATTCTCAGGGTGCTTATGAGAATTCTCAGGGTGCCTATGAGAATTCTCAGGGTGCCTAAGAGAATTCTCAGGGTGCCTATGAGAATTCTCAGGGTGCCTATGAGAATTCTCAGGGTGCCTATGAGAATTCTCAGGGTGCCTATGAGAATTCTCAGGGTGCCTATGAGAATTCTCAGGGTGCCTATGAGAATTCTCAGGGTGCCTATGAGAATTCTCAGGGTGCCTATGAGAATCCTCAGGGTGCCTATGAGAATCCTCAGGGTGCCTATGAGAATTCTCAGGGTGCCTATGAGAATTCTCAGGGTGCCTATGAGAATTCTCAGGGTGCCTATGAGAATCCTCAGGGTGCCCATGAGAATTCTCAGGGTGCCTATGAGAATTCTCAGGGTGCCTATGAGAATTCTCAGGGTGCCTATGAGAATTCTCAGGGTGCCTATGAGAATCCTCAGGGTGCCTATGAGAATCCTCAGGGTGCCTATGAGAATTCTCAGGGTGCCTATGAGAATTCTCAGGGTGCCTATGAGAATTCTCAGGGTGCCTATGAGAATCCTCAGGGTGCCCATGAGAATTCTCAGGGTGCCTAAGAGAATTCTCAGGGTGCCTATGAGAATTCTCAGGGTGCCTATGAGAATTCTCAAATACACCCTGTGTGGATGATAGGAAGCATACAGCATGCAGAAAGAAGTGAGAACCCATGTGGGCGCTAGTGAGACCCCATGTGGGCGCTAGTGAGACCCCATGTGGGCGCTAGTGAGACCCCATGTGGGCGCTAGTGAGACCCCATGTGGGCGCTAGTGAGACCCCATGTGGGCGCTAGTGAGACCCCATGTGGGCGCTAGTGAGACCCCATGTGGGCGCTAGTGAGACCCCATGTGGGCGCTAGTGAGACCCCATGTGGGCGCTAGTGAGACCCCATGTGGGCGCTAGTGAGACCCCATGTGGGCGCTAGTGAGACCCCATGTGGGCGCTAGTGAGACCCCATGTGGGCGCTAGTGAGACCCCATGTGGGCGCTAGTGAGACCCCATGTGGGCGCTAATGAGACCCCATGTGGGCGCTAGTGAGACCCCATGTGGGCGCTAGTGAGACCCCATGTGGGCGCTAGTGAGACCCCATGTGGGCGCTAGTGAGACCCCATGTGGGCGCTAGTGAGACCCCATGTGGGCGCTAGTGAGACCCCATGTGGGCGCTAGTGAGACCCCATGTGGGCGCTAGTGAGACCCCATGTGGGCGCTAATGAGACCCCATGTGGGCGCTAGTGAGACCCCATGTGGGCGCTAGTGAGACCCCATGTGGGCGCTAGTGAGACCCCATGTGGGCGCTAGTGAGACCCCATGTGGGCGGTAGTGAGACCCCAGGTCTACCTCATGTGGGCGCCAAAAAAAGGCGACTTCTACTCATGAGTGTTCAGTTTGAGGTGTATACGACACATACACTCATGCCACACTGGCTCTTACAGTACACATCATCATCATCATCATCATCATCATCATCATCATCATCATCATCATCATCATCATCATCATCATCATCATCATCATCATCATCATCATCATCATCATCATCATCATCATCATCATCATCATCATCATCATCATCATCATCATCATCATCATCATCATCATCCTTCTTTTCATCACCACAAGCGCTCTTATACATACCATGTGCCATGGCTAGCGAGTCTTCAAGACTCCAGCTCTCCTCTGCTTTTGAGTCGAATCAAAAGCATGGCCATTCTCTTCATCACCATAAGCGCTCTTATAGGTACCGTGTGCCATGGCTAGCGAGTCCCCTAGACTCCAGCTCTCCTCTGCTTTCGAGTCGACTCTAAAGCATGGCCATTCTCTTCATCACCACAAGCTCGTATACGTACCATGTGCCATGGCCAGCGAGTCGTCAAGACTCCAGCTCTCCTCTGCTCCTGTTCTGTTTCTCCTCATAACCTGCAAGGCGGGAGGAGCATCAGAAGAGAAACTGTTCAGACATCCTCTCCTTTCTCTCGCATGCGGACTCTTTTTTCTCGTGCAATCCCTTCTCTCTGAGCTCCTCGCTTCCTCTCCTCTCCTCTCCTCTCCTCTCCTCTCCTCTCCTCCCTCTCATCTCCTCTCCTCTCCTCTCCTCTCCTCTCCTCTCCTCTCATCTCCTCTCCTCTCATCTCCTCTCCTCTCCTCTCCTCTCCTCTCCTCTCCTCTCATATCTTCTCATCTCCTCTCACCTGCTTCACCACTCGTGTGCCGAGTGACAGTGAAGCCTCAGTCTTTGCCACCCACTCTCATTTCCCCGCCACTACAGCATTTCCCTCCTCTCATCTCCTCTCTGCCCCTTTGCCCTCCTCTCCCGTCCTCTTCCCTCCTCTTCTCCCCTCTCACCTGCTTCGCCACCCGTGTGCCAAGTGACAGTGAAGCCTCAGTCTTTGCCACCCACTCCTCACTAGCTGCCAATAAAGCCCACCGCCTGTCCACCTTCTTCGCCACCCGCTCATCTTCCACACCCATGCTTGCCGCTCGCATGTCTGCCGCCCGCAACTCTGCCGCCCATTTGCGGAAGCGGAACAGCTGGAGCAGGGAGGAGAGGCAGAGCCAATGGGACGCCTGCAGGAAGAGGGATGCCACGTCATGTGCCACGTGGCTGCGCTGTAGCAGGCAGGCAGCATCAGAATCTCCGCAATGGGGCAGCCCAAAGCTCCTGCGTGCAGTAAGGAAGGAGAGAGGAGAGGGAAGGGGAGTTGGGGAATGAGGTTGGGGAAGGTGGTGGGGAAAGGTGGTGCATTTGGAATGTGCCACGTGGCAGCGCTACAGCAGGGAGGCAGCCTCTCCGCAATAAGGCAGCCCAAAGCTCCTGCAAGCGGTTAGAAGAAGGGAGTAGGGGGAAGGTGAGTTGGGGAAGGTGGTGTGCGTTGGGGGCAGCATCGGAATCCCCGCAATGGGGTGGGCCAAAGCTCCTGCATTCAATGAGGAGAGAGGAGTAGGGGGAAGGGGAGTCGGGGAAAGGTGGTGGGGGAAGGTCAGTGCGGGAAGGTGGTGGGGGAAGGTTGGTGCAGATAGGTGGTGGGGGACGGGTGGTACATTCAGAATGTGCCGTGTGGCTGCCCTGCAGCAAGCAGGCAGCATCGACCTCTCCACAATGGGGCAGCCCAAAGCTCCTGCAAGCGGCCAGAGGAAGGTGGTAGGGGAAAGGTCATGGGGGGAAGAAGATGGTTGGAGGAAGGTCATGGGGGGAAGGTGGGGAAAGGTCATGGGGGGAAGGTGGGGAGAGGTCATGGGGGGAAGGTGGGGAAAGGTCATGGGGGGAAGGTGGGGAAAGGTCATGGGGGGAAGGTGGGGAAAGGTCATGGGGGGAAGGTGGAAAGGTCATGGGGGGAAGGTGGAAAGGTCATGGGGGGAAGGTTGTCGGAGAAACAGCTCTGCTAGTCATCTGCCTGCATTCTGATTCTCTTCTTCTTCTCAGTTCCTTCTGCTGCCTCAGCCACTCTCTAATGAAAGAGTCAGAACTCCCACCTCAAGGGTCCTCTCTGCGTGGTGTGCCACCTGGCTGTGAGTTAAGGCAACAACTCTCCACTATGCGAAAGGATAACAAACGGAAAGCATCAGGGATGTGTGAGAGAGTGACTTTACCTGGCCTGGGCTCGAACCGTGCATTTCTCAATGTGCGGCTCGAGCCTGGGTTGGTTCAATCACATTGGTCGCGTGGATTTCTCCCTTGGTGCTCTCCTACCAACCTCGCGTCAACTTCCCTGGTTCCCCAACTACCTACCCTCGAATATTCATACTCAACATTGCTACACCAGAACTACACCAGAACTACACCTCAACATAACTGGCACCTTATATGCACAACCGTGCGTATTCGGTGACAAGGTGGGGAAAGGTCATGGGGGGAAGGTGGGGAAAGGTCATGGGGGGAAGGTGGGGAAAGGTCATGGGGGGAAGGTGGGGAAAGGTCATGGGGGGAAGGTGGGGAAAGGTCATGGGGGGAAGGTGGGGAAAGGTCATGGGGGAAAGGTGGAAAGGTCATGGGGGGAAGGTGGGGAAAGGTCATGGGGGAAAGGTGGAAAGGTCATGGGGGGAAGGTGGGGAAAGGTCATGGGGGGAAGGTGGGGAAAGGTCATGGGGGGAAGGTGGGGAAAGGTCATGGGGGGAAGGTGGGGAAAGGTCATGGGGGAAAGGTGGAAAGGTCATGGGGGGAAGGTGGGGAAAGGTCATGGGGGAAAGGTGGAAAGGTCATGGGGGGAAGGTGGGGAAAGGTCATGGGGGGAAGGTGGGGAAAGGTCATGGGGGGAAGGTGGGGAAAGGTCATGGGGGGAAGGTGGGGAAAGGTCATGGGGGGAAGGTGGGGAAAGGTCATGGGGGGAAGGTGGGGAAAGGTCATGGGGGGAAGGTGGGGAGAGGTCATGGGGGGAAGGTGGGGAAAGGTCATGGGGGGAAGGTGGGGAAAGGTCATGGGGGGAGGAATCTCCATGCGCCTTACAAATCGCCTCATGACTCGCAAGGGGCATTTCTTTTGAGACGTCTCAAAAGGGGAAGGCGGGGAACGGTCATGGGGGAGGGAGCTCAACTCGTCTTAGAAATCGCTTCATGACTTGCAGGGGGCATTCCGAAGCTCCTGCAAGTGGTTGGGGGGGAGGAGCTGGGGGAAGCGATTTGGGGAAGGGTGTCAGGGAAGGGGGACGGGGGGAAGGTGGTTCGGGGGAAGGTGGCCCAGGAAAAGTGGTTCGGGAAGGTGGTGGGGGGGAAGGTGGTCGGGTGAAGGGAGGTTGGGGAAGTGGTTGGGGGAAATGGTTGGGGGAAGGTGGTTAGGGAAGGGGAAGGAGGAAAGGGGAAGGGGCTGGGGGGGGGGGAATGCGGGGTTGGGGGAGGAAAAGGGGGGGAAGGGAGGAGTTGTGTGAGGGCTGCTGTGACGGACTCACCAGTCCCCTGTTCGGATGTGCAGCGAAACATCGAATTGCAGGCGAAGCCCAGTCCCTTTCGCCAACGGGTTACCACCACCACCCCCTTCTCGCCCCTCCCCTCCTTTCCCTGCTCGTAACGTCCCTCCGCTCAGCCTTCGAGCAAACTGTACTCCCCCACTCCCCGCATCCCCCGCTTCTCCCTCGTCCCCCGCAGCCTCCGCTCGAACTGTGCTCCGCAAATTTCCACTAACAAGCATCCCGTTTTCAACGCGTCGCAACCCCCCTGTTTCCAGTTTATCCAACCCTTTTCCCCGCGCAACTTCTACTTCGTTATGTACTTTTCCGCTAAAAGCCGAAGCAGACTTCACGTGCGGAAATATTCTCACGTCCTTATCAATTTCGTAACCTAACGCTTTTGTCGGTCCGCCTCCTAATAAAATCTCCATCGTTCTTGACCAAATGCACCAGTCCGAAGCGCACCCTAACGCGCCCATCACGCACCGCGTTAACTCCTTATCCTCCTTCCAATACCTATCAAACCCGCTCGACATCGTGACTATAACGAGCGGGTCCGGATCCGCGAGCGATCTCCGCATCTGCTCTCCGTTCGATACCAGCCGATCCAACGGCTCCGCGTAACTAGGCAGATTATTATTCAAAAACCTAATCTCGTCGAAACCGCAGACGAACCCCGCGCAGAGGCTGTTCATCGCGTCGCCGTACTGCCCGCCGTGCCAGCGCAGAAGGCGGCGGCCAGAGAGGAGCGCGTAGACGAAGGAGGAGGAGAGCGCGCGGAGCATGTTACCTAGCCCGGCTCGAGGCACCCAGATCAACCAGCGATCCGCGGAATCGGTGCGACCGATGCGACCGGCGGAATTCTTGGCGGAATCGGTGGGATTTGTGAGATTGGTGCGATAATTGGTGCGAGAAGCGGAATACGAGCGGTAGGAGGAGGGAAGGGAGGAGGACAGGTAGGGGGCAGGGGGTGCACGACGTTGCTGTTCCCCCTCCGAGCGGCTCTCCTGTTGCTGTTCCCCACCCGAGCGATTCTCTCCTACTTGATTCGAGCTTTTCTCTCGTTCCCGATCCAAACTATCCTCTCGCTGCTGGTCCTGCAGCCATCGCCGGTGCACGTGGAGCAGCTCGTCGGAAAGAACGGGCCGGCCGCGCGAAACCCGCGAGGAGTAGGCTTGAGGCGGAAGGAGCGCGCGGCAGGAGGGGGTGTCCTGCGGAAGGTGGTTGGGGAAGGGGAAAGTGAATATGGGGAAGGGGGAAGGGAAGAGAAATGGTGAGGGAAGCGGAAGAATGATGGCGTGAAGTGGAAGAGTGGCATGGGACCATCGTTGATTTCTGAGTCGATTTAACAAACGATCACTCTTGTTGGCAGGCAGCGTGTCCTTAATGAGCGAGCCTGGCAAGCTAATACCGAAGCTGGCTCTGACTCTTCGGCGCTAAGGCAGGTCCTGAATTGTTGGCGCGAAGGCTGCTAGCGCGAATTCCACACCTCAAGGCTGATGTTATGGTGCTTGACGTTCGCGCTTCGCCACGTGGACTTGACCAGGGTGTCCGGCCACGTCACGCGGTGGTTCTGATTGGTCCGCCCGCCTACCAGGAACTCCCAATTGGCGCGCTCTTCAACGAAGCGCATCGACACGCCCTTGACGTACACGCGCGATATCCAGTCGCGGTTTATAGCCGCCAGATGACGACGGCGATGCGGGGAAACGGGGGGGAAGCTTCTTAAGTGGAACGGGGCTGATGCCGCCGCGTGAGTGTGAACGAGGAGGATGCTGGAAAGAATTGTTACCACGAGTATTAGTGGGCAAAAAAGGTAGGAGCTTTTTGAAGGCCCTGTTACAACGCGACGTCGAAGTGGCATCGACGGTAGCAAGACTCCGCGTTGAGGTTTCGAACGTAGATTAATAGGCCCTGCTCTGCGAGCTGCGTCGTGACAGTGATGAACACTATTTCCCTCTGCGTCGGAGCTGCTTGTATTGGAGATACGCATGGTGTCGGTCCTGCGATGATGACTTCCACGTGTCAGCTTCTACCTCCGCTTCCGCTGCGCCTTAGGTGCTTGTTCGGATGAAGGCGTATGGATCGAAAAAAACGACTTCGTGCTTCTTGCTCGTGGGAGACCGAGGTGAGTCGCGAATATGAAGGTTGTTTGTGTGGTTCTGCTGTGCCTCCCTGTCCCACTCGGGCGCCTCATCGTCCTGTCGCGACGATGTTTCGTTTGATACATGCTGGAGAAAGAGAGGAGCATTTCATCAGCGGATGATGTGTGAAGGTGTTAGGGTGCGTCATAAAGCACACGATTTCGCGGTTTTGTGAGTTAATAGACGCTTGAAACGGATAAAAGCTGGTTAGGAAGGGTTTGAGCGAAAGTGAATGCCTGACACCGAGTACCAGCACTAGGCGGCTGCATTATTTTTTAATTGAAACGACGCGCGGATTTGATGCTGAGCTTGGCTGCTGTGCTGTCTGCCTCCTGCTCCAGTGCGGTTGGTAGGGATTGCGCGGGAAAAAACATTTGCGAAGCTCACTGACGCGCCGCCAGAGGGGAGGGTGGTACACGTTGACGAAATACGCGATCAACCCGTCTTCGTTCGCAAGTGTGCGGCAGTCTGAAAGCATCATCTGCGCACATACCTGCCCCGCGTAAGTTTGAAATGTATTTAACAACATAAAGCACTTCAGAAGTGTACCTCTTATTCATATACGTTCTGTTGTCATAATACCACCTCGTTTCGGACCTTGAACTTCCCGTTGGACCAAACCAAACGGAACAGCCACTAACTTGCTCCTTTCTAATTTATTAGAAGCAGCTTGACTGTCTCTGGTCCGTGGACCACGTCAGCTGGGTCGCCGTAGTTGCCTATTCGCCAGTCTTAGCTGATCAAGCGCGTGCAACCCGAGGCGCCAGCCAGCATGGGTGCCGCCTTATCGTCGATGCTGGCGGCTCCCGAGTCGCTTTTGACCTTCGCAGTCGTCGCAGCCGTCGCGTGGGTTGTCGTCAAAATTCTCCTGCAGCCTAAAGTCCCGCGAATTTCCGTCGACACTTCGTACAGTAAGCGATCATCGCGTTCTCGAGTCTTGCGCTAGTTAAACCTTTATGTCCCTTAAAGCGCTTTACATTCCTCGTTTGTAGACATAAGGGAGTTGTTTTCCATCAGAGTCGTACTTCTCCGTGTTAGATACCTATTGCTACCTCAACTTCCTGCGTTCTTTCTTCTCCACTCCGTTTCTTCACCCACCTCTTCGTCACAGCCGTTGCGAGCACCAAAATTAGAGACACCATTCCCCTTTTCTTGACAAGATTGGGAAAGGACTAACGTGATTTGGTTTGAAACCCTCGCATGTGTTTGTCCTGGCAATCGAGCCTGTGCAGTTACGGAGAAGCAGGAGGAGAGCAAATCCAATCGATATATTTATGTAAGCCGTTGCTTTGCCAGCTTCGTTTGCTCAACTGCACATTTCACTCCTCACTTTCTTCACTCTTACATTTAGAGCACACTCGCGTCGCCTTCACATTCACAGGGAAAAGCTCTATTATTGGTTGCCGATTTTTACCGTTTCGTCTTTCCTTCAACTCTGCTGTCCTTTCTCTCCCCACCCCCCCACTCAGTTCCCCCGGGGGGAGGGGTCAGCAGGCAACAGAGTGCAGTGCTACGACCCTGCCACGCTGCAGTACCTGGGCTTCTCGCCTGCTCTGAAAGCATCAGATGTGAGTGGGTGAGAAGGGAGGTCTTGATAAGTCAGGTACGTGATAGGGTGCAGTGCTACGACCCTGCCACGCTGCAGTACCTTGGCTTCTCGCCTGCTTTGAACGCATCTGACGTGAGTGATTGGGCCGGGAGGGTGCGCCTGGGTGGGTGGGTGGGAGTGGGAGTGGGGGTGGAGGGATGGGTGACAGAGAGCAGTGCTACGACCCTGCCACGCTGCAGTACCTGGGCTTCTCGCCTGCTCTCAAGGCATCTGACGTGAGTGGTTGGGTTGGGTTGGGGAGGTGGCAAAGCGCCTGGGTGGGCGGGTGGGAGTGGGAGTGTGGGTGCAAGGGTGGGCGACAGAGTGCAGTGCTACGACCCTGTCAGTTCTCGCTCGAGCCATCCTTTTAAACCCTTATATCCACTTCAGGTGAAGGAGCATGAGGCAAGGGCACGGCAGGCGCAGCAGCAGTGGGCACACAGAAGCTTCGAGAAGAGGAGGCAGTTTTCCCACATGCTTTTATCTCAATGCGACTCTCAAAGCCCCTTCTTTCTTCTGCAGGTGAATGAGCATGTGGCAAGGGCACGGCAGGCGCAGCAGCAATGGGAAGGGAGCAGCTCGCTTTGAGCAGAGGAGGCAGGTTTCCCACTCTTGCTTTTATCTCCATGCAACTCCCAGGTGAATGAGCATGTGGCAAGGGCACGGCAGGCGCAGCAGCAGTGGGCGCACAGCAGCTTCGAGCAGAGGAGGCAGTTCCTGAGGGTGCTGATGCGATACGTGGTGGAAAACCAGGACCTCATATGCAGGTATGGAGTTGCCATGCTGTGGATGCTTTATGTAACACGGTTACCAGCAGCAGTAGCAGCAGCTTTGAGCAGAGGAGGCAGTTCCTGAGGGTGCTGATGCGATATGTGGTGGAAAACCAGGACCTTATATGCAGGTATGGAGTTGCCGTGCTGTTGTTGCTTTACGTAACGTGGTTACCAGCAGTAGTAGCAGCAGCAGCTTTGAGCAGAGGAGGGACGCAGTTCCTGAGAGTGCTGATGCGATACGTGGTGGAGAATCAGGGCCTCATACGCCTGTGAGGGTTACCGTGTTGCATGTTTTCCGTTCTCACATTCTTCTTCCCCCCTCCACCCACTCCCCCACCCCAATCTCCTACCCCGCCCCTCTCCCCACCCCCACCCTCCCCTCCCCTCCCCTCTCCCCGCTCCCCCCCTTTTTTTTGCTTGAATCCAACTTCCACCTTCTCTCTTTCACTCCCCACCTCTCACTGCGCACCTCTCCTGCCTTGCACATTCAAACTTCGGTCTCTCATCCCTGCCCACCTTTTATTCTCTCCAGAGTATCCGCCCGAGAGTCGGGCAAGGTGTCGGTGGATGCTGCTGTCTCTACTGCTGAATCGGTCCTCTCTCACTGCCTTCCTCTCATCTCTCACTGCCTTCCTCTCATCTCTCACTGCCTTCCTCTCATCTCTCACTGCCTTCCTCTCATCTCTCACTGCCTTCCTCTCATCTCTCACTGCCTTCCTCTCATCTCTCACTGCCTTCCTCTCATCTCTCACTGCCTTCCTCTCATCTCTCACTGCCTTCCTCTCATCTCTCACTGCCTTCCTCTCATCTCTCACTGCCTTCCTCTCATCTCTCACTGCCTTCCTCTCATCTCTCACTGCCTTCCTCTCATCTCTCACTGCCTTCCTCTCATCTCTCACTGCCTTCCTCTCATCTCTCACTGCCTTCCTCTCATCTCTCACTGCCTTCCTCTCATCTCTCACTGCCTTCCTCTCATCTCTCACTGCCTTCCTCTCATCTCCCACTGCTTGGTCTCTCATCGCTGCCCACCTCATTCTCTCCAGAGTATCGGCGCGAGAGTCAGGCAAGGTGCTGGTGGTGCTACTGCCGAGTCTGTTTCTCCCTGCCATTCTCTCATGTCCCACTGCTTGGTCTCTCACCATGCCCACACCCCCAGAGTATCGGCCCGAGAGTCGGGCAAGGTGCTGGTGGATGCTGGGTTTGGTGAGATTCTGACGACGTGTGAGAAGATAGCGTGGCTGCTAAATGAAGGGGAGAGGTGGCTCAAACCTGAATACAGGTCAGTCCGTGCAGTCATTGCGAGGCAACGCGGTAGTCAGTGCAGTCAATGTGTGTCAATGTGAGATTCTGACGACGTGTGAAAAGATAGTGTGGCTGCTAAGCGAAGGGGAGAAGTGGCTCAAACCTGAATACGGGTCAGTCCGTGCAGTCAATGCGAGTCAACGCAGTAGTCAATGCAGTTGTCAATGTGGGTCGGGGAAGGTGCTGGTGGATGGTGGGTTTGGGGAGAGTCTGACGACGTGTGAGAAGATGCATGGCTGCTGAGTGAAGGGGAGAGGTGGCTCAAACCTGAATACAGGTCAGTCCGTGCAGTCAATGCAGTCAATGCCAGTCAATGCATTTGTCAGTCAGTGTGAGTCAAATTGAGTCAATGCAGCCAGTGTGAGTTGATGCCAGTAAGTGTGAGTCAGCGTGAGTCAGTGCAGTCACCATGCAGTCAATGCAACAACCAATGCAAGTCAATGCAAGTCAATGCGGTCAATGTGAGCGAATCTGAGTTGGGAAAGGTGCTGGTGGATGCTTGGCTGCGGTGAGAATCTCATGCCCTCCTTACCACTTTTTTGTTTTTGTTTTTTTTTAATGTTTTTTTATGTTCTTCCTTTCGCCTTTTTCCCACCTGTCATCTTTCACTCCTCTCAGGTCTTTGGGTCGAACCATGATGCACAAGGTGGCCAGAGTTGAGTTTGAACCAGAAGGGGTGATCGGAGCCATAATGCCGTGGAACTACCCCTTCTCAACTCTCTTTGCTGTCGCTCCCTTCTCTCTTGTTTGCATCTCTCAGGTCTGTGGGTCGAACCATGACGCACAAGGTGGCCAGAGTTGAGTTTGAACCAGAAGGGGTGATTGGAGCCATAGTGCCGTGGAACTACCACCCCTTCCGCTCGTTCCTCTCGCCTTACCCTTCTCTTCCCCCAACCCCCCTGAACCCCACTCCATCCTCTGTTCAGGTCCGTGGGTCGAACCATGCTGCACAAAGTCGCTAGGGTGGAGTTTGATCCAGCAGGGGTGATCGGAGCCATAGTGCCGTGGAACTACCCCTTTCACAACGTGCTTAACCCCGTGCTGTCCGCCGTATTCGCTGGCAATGCTGCCGTTATCAAGGTGAGTGAGACAGAGTGCGGGACAGAAAGTCAAGACAGGCAGGGACAGAGGGAGAGAGGGAGAGAGGGAGAGAGGGAGAGAGGGAGAGAGGGAGAGAGGGAGAGATAGGAGCCCCTAGGTGCAGGGGTGATCGGAGAGCCATAGTGCTGTGGAACTACCCGTTCCTCAACGTTCTTAACCCCGTGCTGTCTGCTGTCTTTGCTGGCAATGCTGCTGTTATCAAGGTGAGACGGAGTGAGGGACAGGCAGGGACAGGGACAGAGAAATAGGGAAACAGAGGGACAGAGAGAGAGAGAGGGACAAAGAGGGGAGCCATAGTGCCATAGTGCTGTGGAACTACCCCTTTCACAATGTGCTCAACCCCGTGCTGTCTGCCGTGTTTGCTGGGAATGCTGCTGTGATCAAGGTGAGACAGAGCGAGGGACAGAGAGTCAAGACCGACAGGGACAGAGGGAGAGAGGGAGAGATAGGAGCCCCTAGGTGCAGGGGTGATCGGAGCCATAGTGCCGTGGAAGTACCCCTTTCACAACGTGCCCAACCCCGTGCTGTCCGCTGTATTTGCCGGCAATGCTGCCGTGATTAAGGTGAGATGGGGGGAGGAGAGGGGGAGACAAGACTGATAGTGGGAGAGACAAGACTGGTATCAGAGCATGCGAGCTGGGGCGCGCACTACTATCTGGACATCATCCGCTCAGCGCTCGCTCAAGACTGTTGAAAAGTGCGCCACAACCCCCCAACCCCCCTCCTCCTTCCGCTCGCAGATATCAGAGCATGCGAGCTGGGGCGCGCACTACTACCTGGACATCATCCACACAGCTCTCAGGGCTGTTGAGGAGCGCTAGAGGGGCTAGGAGGAATAACTGCAGGGAAGACCACCCTTTGTTCCTTGCTGGTGCACCTTACTGCCTCTCCTCGCAGGTATCAGAGCATGCGAGCTGGGGCGCACACTACTACCTGGATATCATTCGCTCGGCGCTCAAGGCTGTTGGGGGCCCGCCTGAGCTGGTTCATGTGATCACTGGGTGAGTGAGTGCGTGCGTGCACGGGGGGGTGCGGCATGTCAGTGATAGTGTTGGAGTCAACTCAGGCAGCTCCCTCCTTTCTCAGGTGACTCCCTTCCTTCTCAGGTGACTCCCTTCCCTCCCTACAGCCCAGGAAGAGAGCTCTCAAGGCTGTTGGTGGCCCTCCAGAGCTCGTGCATGTGATCACTGGGTGAGTGTGTGAGTGCGTGTACGGGGCGGTGCGGCATGTCAGTGAAAGTGTTGGAGTCAACTCAGGCAGCTCCCTCCCTTCTCAGGTGACTCCCTTCCCTCCCTACAGCCCAAGAAGAGAGCCCCCAAGGCTGTTGGGGGCAGGCCTGAGCTGAGCTGATGAAGGCTTTGTTGCCGAAACGCGTACGCACGCACATCCCAGACGATTTTTTGTCTTACCGATTGACTTACTAAGTCTTTCTTCTACTCGCTTTCTTCTCTCCTAGTTGAAACTGGTTAGATCCATTTAGATCTAGACACGAGCGACCTCAGTTGGCTTGCTGCGATCGAATCCGCCTTTAAACAACCTCCCTACGGCCCAAGAAGAGAGCCCCCAAGGCTGTTGGGGGCAGGCCTGAGCTCGTGCATGTCATCACTGGGTGAGCTCGTGCATGTCATCACTGGGTGAGCTCGTGCATGTCATCACTGGGTGAGCTCGTGCATGTCATCACTGGGTGAGCTCGTGCATGTCATCACTGGGTGAGCTCGTGCATGTCATCACTGGGTGAGCTCGTGCATGTCATCACTGGGTGAGCTCGTGCATGTCATCACTGGGTGAGCTCGTGCATGTCATCACTGGGTGAGCTCGTGCATGTCATCACTGGGTGAGTGAGTGTGTGCGTGCGCGATTGTGTGCGGCATGTCAGTGACAATTGTGGTTGTGGCTTTGGAGTCGACTCAGGCAGCTCCCTCCCTACAGCCCAATACGAGAGCCCCCAAGGCTGTTGGGGGTCCGCCTGAGCTGAGCTGATCCTTGTGTGTTCGTGGGAGGTGGGCATGTGGGGAAGAGTGGGTATGTCAGTGGCAGCAGTGTGTGTTGGTGGGTGGTGGGCATTAGGGGAAGTGTGTGTGTGGCATGTCAGTGGCAGCAGTGTGTGTTGGTGGGTGGTGGGCATTAGAGGAAGTGTGTGTGTGGCATGTCAGTGGCAGCAGTGTGTGTGGCATGTCAGTGGCAGGAGTGACTGTTGCAGTCAGGGGTGGGTGGATTAGCTTGCCTACGGTCCAACTGCTCCGCTCCTCACAGTTGAAATTCGCTGGGTTTGAAACGCAGCAAGCCTGCTAAGAGTAACGATCTATAGCACTAGTCTACTAATCTGAAAGGCGAGGGAAGTAGTGAGAAAAGGTCTACTAATCAGAAAGCCAGACACATTAGGCCTGGATGTCGCGTGTGAACGCGTTTCGGCCATCAAAGGCCTTCATCAGCAGTCAGGGGTGGCTGGATTAGCTTGCCCGTTTTTTTTTAGAATTCTCAAATAACCCTGCCCGCGGTCCATCTGCTCTGCTCCTCACAGGCCTCCTCTGTGCGGCATACACCCGTGCTCGTGCCTGGCCTCAACTCAAACCAGCGACTGCCTTTTCATGCAACTGGCACTATCCCCGTCGCTCTGTGCTGGCAGGTTCGACCTCACGGGGTCAGCTCTGGTGCAGTCTGGTGTGGACCGTACACCTGTGCTCACGCCTCGCCTCGCCTCGCCTCGCCTCGCCTCCAACCAACACACCTGCTTCCCCATGCTCTATTTCTTTCTCCTCCTCTCTGCTCTGTGCTGGCAGGTTTGGGCCCACAGGGTCAGCTCTGGTGCAGTCCAGTGTGGATCGGTTGATCTTTGTTGGGTCAACTGCTGTAGGCAGGAAGGTGAGTAGGAGGGTACAATACAAAGGTGAGTGTGCAAGGCTGCTATTAAACCCTTTCATTTTTTGCCTTTTTTTTTCGGCTTGAGTAACTGTCAAGAGTTCTTCCCTGCTTTGGCACACTTGCCCACAAAAGGTTTTGCAACCCTCTGCTTCTCTTCTGTCCTCTGTCTCTGCCTCTCTTCTGTCCTCTGTCTCTGCTTCTCTTCTGTCCTCTGTCTCTGCTTCTCTTCTGTCCTCTGTCTCTGCTTCTCTTCTGTCCTCTGTCTCTGCTTCTCTTCTGTCCTGTCTCTGCTTCTGTTCTGTCCTATGTCTCTGCCTCTCTTCTGTCCTCTGTCTCTGCTTCTCTTCTGTCCTCTGTCTCTGCCTCTCTTCTGTCCTCTGTCTCTGCTTCTCTCCTGTCCTCTGTCTCTGCTTCTCTTCTGTCCTCTGTCTCTGCTTCTCTTCTGTCCTCTGTCTCTGCTTCTCTTCTGTCCTCTGTCTCTACTTCTCCACAGGTTCTAGAGGCCTCTGCAGTGAACCTCACGCCAACGGTGCTGGAGCTGGGAGGCAAGGACGCGTTCATCGTGTGTGACGATGCGGACTTGAAGCAGGTGAGGGCAGTTGGGGGTACACCCTACTAGCAAGCTGGAACGCATCTCCCAGTGCTGGAGCTGCGAGGGAAGGACGCGCTCATAGCTTGTGACGATGCAGACCCGAAGCAGGTAGACTTTTGAGTCGACTCAAAAGTCAACTCTGAAGTAGGTAAGGTAGTTGGGGTTGGGGGTACACCCTACTAGCAAGCTGACCGCCTCTCCCAGTGCTGGAGCTGGCGGCCAAGGACGCGTTCATAGTGTGTGATGATGCGGACTTGAAGCAGGTAGGTTGATGTGGGGTGCGCTCCTCTCTAATGCTGGAGCTGGGAGGCAAGGACGCGTTCACAGTGTGTGACGATGCGGACTTAAAGCAGGTACGGCAGTGGGCAAGACAGACCTCCAGCAGGTATTTGCAGCAGTAGGGGTGAAGCCCCCTCTATTCTCAACCTCTCACGCCCACGGTGCTGGAGCTGGGAGGCAAGGACGCCTTCATCGTGTGTGACGATGCGGACTTGAAGGAGGTAGGGAGCAGTTGAAGCGAGGTGAACTAGTCACACCCTGACTTGATTGTTGAGGTCGGGAATTTGACCATCATGGTGCTGGGGCTGGGGAGGAGGCCAGGACGCATGCATCAGAGTATATGTGAGAATTCTCTCAAGACTCACATTGCCGTGATAGAGAATACTCTTTATCACGGTGCTGGGGCTGGGGAGGAGGCCAGGACGCATGCATCAGCTCTCACCAACTTCAAGGCCTGAAGCTGTCAATGATGCAACCTTTTGAGGCGTTTGCAAAAAAGGGACCTGAAGCAGGTAAGGGCGCCGTCTCCATTGGTTAGGCAGTTTCTTGCACTGCTTGAGAGATTCTGGGAAGTTAAATAGTTTCTTTCCTTTTGTTGCTTAAGCAATTCTTCAAGGTTTGCAGCTATTTGGCTATGAAGCTGGATTCGGGTAAGTGTGAAAGATAAGGATTGAAGAGAATTAGATGATTCAACTATGAAAGCCTTGGGTTTACATAGTAGGAAAGAGAAGAGAGGTGGGAGCCAACATTATTGGAGGCCCACCAATAAGTTGGGTTGGGAATTATTGGAGGGCCTCCAATAATGTTAACCACTCTTGAGTTGGGTCAACATTATTGAAGGGGGACCAATAATGTTCCCAACCCAACCTTTGGGGTCCAATAATTTGGGCCAAAGGTTGGGTCTCAACCCAACTTTAGGGGTAACCCTAGCTATACACCCAACCAGAGGTTGGGAGCTTATCTCTACCTGATCTAGAGAATATGAGTGCAGGTTACAAGAGAAGGATAGTTTCTAACACAACCCCTTAACCTGCAGGAATGGAGAAGATCAGAAGAGACAGAGGGTTACAACCCCAGAGTCAGGGAGCGCCGAGGGGAGCAAGGCCGATGAGGCGAAGGAGAGCAGAGTGCGCAGGGCGGAGAAGCGCCTTGGTGAAGATGTCGGCCAAGTTGGCCTCGGCGGCAATCTTGCGAACGGCAACAAGACCTTTCTGGACCAATTCGCGGATAAAGAAGTACCGGAGCTCAATATGCTTGGAGCGGCCATGGAAGACGGGGTCCTGGGTAAGATGGATGGTGCTGGCATTGTCACACCAAAGAGTAGGGCAGCGCTGGGGGGCGCCGAGCTCATCAAGGAGAAAGCATAGCCAACGGCACTCCTGAGCGGCCATGGTGCCGGCGTAGAGTTCGGCCTCACATGAAGAGAGTGCAATCGCAGAGGAGCACGTGGAACGCCAACTGATCAGGCCGCTGCCAAGTGTGAAGCCATAACCCTGAGAGGAGCGGCGGTCGGGTTGTGAGTCCGCCCAGGAGGAGTCGCTAAAGCCAGCAAGGAGGGGTGGAGAGGAGCCGCCAAGTGTGAGGGCGTGGTCCTTGGTGCCACGAAGGTAGCGGAGAACCCGTTTGGCAGCGGATCAGTGTTCCTCAGTGTGGCGGCCGGTGCCCACAAACCGAGCGAGGACACTGATGGGATAGGCGAGATCGGGGTGTGTGCACATCATGGCGTACATCAGGGACCCGACAAGCTCGGCATAGGGACGAGAGGAGGAGGAGGGAGAGGTGGGCGGCGTCAGCTGATGACCGAAGGGGAGGGGGGTGGAGACGGATTTGGCCTGGGCCATCTCGAATTTCTCCAGCACCTGGCCGATGTAGTGAGATTGGGAGAGGGTGATGGTGCGAGCAGCTCGGTTGCGGGTGATGGTCATGCCAAGGTAGTTTTGTAGCGTGCCAAGATCTTTGCACTTGAGGCGCTCCTGCAGTGACCGCTTCACCTGTACCATGTCTGGCTTAGAATCGGCAAGCAGGATCATGTCATCAACATAGACCAGGATGAAGAAGCGACGGGGCGAGGAGCGGATGAAGAGGCTGGCGTCGGAGTGGGAGGCAGAGAAGCCGAGGGACCGGAGAGTTGCGGACAACTTCGCATGCCATTCCCGTGGTGCCTGCTTCAGGCCGTAGACTGGGCGGCGTAGTTGCCACACAGTGTTGTCGAGGAAGGAGGCATGAAAGCCGGGGGGCCGCCGAAGGAAGATGCGCTCGTGCAAGTGGCCTTGGAGGAACGCGTTGGAGACATCCATGGAGTCAATCTCCATGTCGTCGCGTGCACCAATGTCAAGGAGGGCACGGAGGGTGGGTGGCTTGATGGTAGGGGCGTAGGTGAACCAGAAATCCTTTGCCCATTCCTGGGTGAAACCCTTCGCAACGTAGCGGGCCTTGTAGACAGGGTCCTCTCCCGGCAGCTGCTTGACGCGAAAGATCCATTTGCCTTCAACAAGGTTGGCATCGGCGGGGAGGGGAACGTCGATGAAGGAGTCGTTGCGAATGAACGCTTCACATTCCAGGAAGATGGCGGCTATCCACTTGTCAGCATCAGGACAGGTGATAGCTTCCTGGAAGGTGGAGGGGACAAAGATGGTGGGAGCGGAGACGGCGCTGAGGACAAGAGCGCCAAGGAAGTTGGGATAGAGCGGGGCGAGAGAGGGAGTGTGCTGCTGGACCGCAATAAGCTCCTCGTGAGAGTCCTCAAGGAGGTGGAGAGAGTTAGGGGGCGGGGTACCAAGGATAGGATCAAGAGAGCGGGTGTGCATGCGGGGGAGGAGGAAAGGCGAGGAGCGAGCAGTTGCCCTCTGCTGTTGCCGCTGCTGGTGCTGATGGAGCGCCTGCTGCTGCTGCTGCTGGTTCTGGTGCTGCTGCCCCGGCTGCTGCTGCTCCTGCTGCGGTCCTTGCTGCTGCTGCGGCTGCTGCCCCTGCTGCTGCCCCTGCTGCTGCTCGTGCTGCTGCTGCTGCCCCTGCTGCTGGTCCTGCTGTTGAAGCGGCTGCTGCTGCCCCTGCTGCTGCCCCTGCCGCTGCCCATGCTGCTGCCCCGGCTGCTGTCCCTGCTGTTGCTGCGGCTGCTGCTGCTGCTGCTGCTGGTGTGGCTGCGGCTGCTGCTGCTGCTGCGGTTGGGAGGGAGACGGAGGGGAGGAGGGGGAGGGGGCTGTGGAGTGGGCGGGGGATGCGGGTTCAGCAGGATCGTAGATGTCAGCAGATGAGGGAGGAGGTAGTGGAGTAGGGAGAGGTGGTAGGAGTGGTGCAGGGGGGAGGAGGGGAGGAAGGACAGTGTCGGCCCAGGCGAGAGGGCGGGAAGGGGGAGGGAGGGGGTCAGGTGGGGGAGTAGAGTAGTAGGGGATGGTCTCATCAAAGACGACATCGATGCTGCGGATGAGGCGTCCGGATGGAGGGTGGAGGAAGAGGTAGCCAGGTGAGTCGCGGTTGTGTCCTAGGTAGACGCACTCCAGAGCGCGAGAGGCGAGCTTGCCTTGAGTGCGATCGGGAGGAGGAATGAGGACGTAAGCCTTGCAACCCCACACACGGAGGCCTGCAGCATCAGGTTTGGTGCCTGACCAGAGTTCCGTGGGGGTGGTGGCAGTGTGGTGAGGATGGGAGTGTAGGTTGAGGAGGAGGGCAGCATGAAGGAGGGCATAGCCCCAGAGGGAAGGAGGGGTGGAGGCATGAGCAAGGAGACAACGGGCGATTTTGGTGATTTCGCGGATGCGGCTCTCTGCGACGCCATTCTGCTGCGGGGAGTGGGGAAGGGTGTGAGTCTGTTGAATGCCATAGGTGGCGCAGTAGTTAGAGAGTGTGATTGAGGAATTCGCCCCCACCGTCAGAGTGGAGGCGGCCGATGGGACGTTTGAAGTGGGTGCGGCATTGTTCAGCCCAGTTGATGATCACAGTTGGTGCCTGGTCCTTGGTGTGGAGGAGGAAAATGGAGGAGTAGCGGCTGCGATCGTCAACGAGGACCAGCATGTAGCGATGGCCCTGGCGTGAGCGGGTGGGAGAAGGGCCCCATAGGTCCATGTGGACGAGGTCAAGTGGGGCAGGAGCGAAGGAGGGATGGCTGTGATGAGGGGATTGCTTGAGTTTGCCGTGGATGCATGAGGGGCATGGGGGAGCGGAGGAGGAAGGAAGGGGAGGGAGGGTGGGGGGGAGGCTGTGGAGGAGGCGGGAGTTGATGGCAGTGCGAAGGGCTGTAAAGCTGGGATGGCCGAGGCGGTGATGTAAGAGCACAGCAGGATGAGAGAGATGATCCGAGGAGGAGGGGGCTGGGGGGGACGGGACGGAGGAGAGGGGCGGAGGTGGGGGAGTGGTAGATACTGGGGGAGGAAAGAGGGGAGGGTGAGTGGAGGTGCCGGCACGGGTGGTGACATGGCAGAAGGAGGGACGAGGAATGCGAAGTGTGTAGAGACGAGTGCGAGGGCAGAGGGGAATGCGCTGGAGGAAGCGACCAGAGGCAGTATGGTAGAGGTCACAGTAGGTTGCGTAACCAGGATAGACAGCGGTGATACCTGCGTGTTGGAGCTCACGGTGGGAGATAAGGTTGTTGCGGAGGGTGGGAATGTGAAGACCAGTGACTTTACCAGAGGGGAAAACGGTGCATGGTAGAGTGGAAAGGTGAGTGCAGGGGATGGAAAAGTTGGCGTCAGCACCGTGTACCTGAGTGGGAATAGGTAGTGGGGTGAGGGTGCCGATATCTTTGGGTGCGGTTTCAGTGGCCCCACTATCAAGGACGAAGTCCAGGGTGGGGTGAGTGTGGGACATGGAGTACTGGAAAGTAGTCTCATTAATGGAAGACGGGTACATGGAAGGAAGAGACGGAGTGATAGCAATGTTACCAAGGAAGCTATTGTGCGTGAGAGGAGTGGCCACACCTGGGGGGGGAGGGGGAGGGGCGCCCCAGAGGGGAGCGGGGGAGGTCTGAGCGGCAATGGCAGCCGTTCCAAAGTTCATCTGCTGCTGCTGCCAGGGCGCGGCTCCAGGTCCCCATTGCGGCCCAGGTCCCCACGGCTGCTGCTGCTGCTGCTGTGGGAGCTGCGGCTGCTGCTGGTGCTGCAGGAACTGCTGCTGCTGCTGCTGCTGTAGGAGATGCTGCTGCTGGAGATTGAGGTATTGTTGAGGTATTGTTGGTCTGGATGTCAGTGAGGGAGGGGCGTGGGCTGAGGGTACCCCAACGAGGAGGGGTGCCGACGTTGCCTCTCTCAAACCAGGCATCATCAAGGGCTTTGAAGCAGGTAGTAGGGGGGTGAGTCGTTTGGCCACAAGGCGTGCCAGCACGGGGACCATGGCGACGAACGTAGGTGCAAGGTGGGAGAGTGCCCGGCCGATTTCCCCGTCCCCCAGAGGAGCCGCCAGGAGAGGTGGTACTGTTCTCATCGCCTCCACGTCCTGCACTGCTGCCCTCACCACGTCCGCCACCACCCTTGCCCCCGCCGCCCCCTTTGCCGTTGCCCTTGCCCTGCTTGCGCGGCTGCGTGGCGTTGAGGGAGGAGGGGGAGGGTTGAGGGGTGGTGAGATTGACGACTGGGGTGCGAAGTTTGACTTCTGTGTCGATGATCCACTGTTCGACGGAGCCGAGGTCGGCCATGGGGTTGGCCTCAGTGAATGCGTGGAGGCGGGATTCATAATCCGGAGTGAGATTGAAGAGGAGGCGGTGAATCTGTAGAGGTTCGGAGAGGCCGGCCTGTCGGGCTTCAAGGCGGTCAGCTACTTCGCGCATTCGTCTCACATAGTCAACAGCACCATCACAAGTAGCGAGCGTGATGGAGATGTATTCCTGAAAGAGAATACCGACGGAGCTGATATCACGCCGTTCGAACATGGCGTGTAGTTCCGTCCAGATCACAGAGGCGCGGAGTTCCCTGGCTTGGAAGCGGCGCATGAGGGTGTCGGGGAGGGCGCCGAGGAGGACGGTGCAGGCGCGGTTGTCAGCAGCGGACCAGGCAATGAGTTTGGGGGTATAGGTTGCCATGTCAGCGTTATACTGAGTGACGACCGCAAGATGAGCATCTCGCCCTACGACGGCTTGTGCGTAGGCCTCGGCTGCTGCGTCGTAGTCCGCCTTGCGAATGAGGTACTCACGACGTTGGTGGAGAAAGGTTTCATCGGCGGCAGCTTGGAGTTCGGGGGTGGAGGCGATGTGGAGTTGAGGTTCAGGAGGAGGATTGCCAGGAGGAGGGGGGAGGAGGGGAGGGTCACCGGGATGATCGGGCGCAGTGGGGGGGAGAGCCTGAGGGCGGCGGAGGAGGACATCAAGGACGCAGTAGGGAGGGACCCAAGCATCTTTGAGAACTCGACGGATACTCCCCACGAAAGAGTGCCAGTTAATAGCGGATTTGTCGGCAGCAAGTTGAAGCTTGTCGACGGAGGAGGTGTCAATGGGAGGAGGAAGAGGGGTGCGGGGAGATGACGGGGTAGCCATGGGTGACGACCGCGGGTGGACCCGCAGCGGTCAAGGAAAAGGCGCGGGCGGCGGCGGCGTGGAGGCCGCGGCGGCGGAGGCGCTGAGACGCAGCGGCGCGGGGCCGCGGTGAGGGAGGGCGCGGGCAGCGGCGGCGTCGAGGCCGCGGCAGGGGAGGCGCGGGGACGCGGCGACGCGGGGCCGCGGCGAGGGAGGGCGCGGGCAGCGGCGGCGTCGAGGCCGCGGCAGCGGAGGCGCGGGAACGCGGCGGCAGAGGCGCGGGAACGCGGCGACGCGGGGCCGCGGCGAGGGAGGGCGCGGGCAGCGGTGGCGTCGAGGCCGCGGCGGCGGAGGCGCGGGGACGCGGCGACGCGGGGCCGCGGCGAGGGAGGGCGCGGGCTGCGGCGGCGTCGAGGCCGCGGCGACGGAGGCGCGGGGACGCGGCGGCGCGGGGCCGCAGCGAGGGAAGGCGCGGGCAGCGGCGGTGTCGAGGCCGCGGCAGGGGAGGCGCGGGGCCGCGGCGAGGGAAGGCGCGGGCAGCGGCGGCGTCGAGGCCGCGGCGACGGAGGCGCGGGGACGCGGCGGCGCGGGGCCGCGGCGAGGGAAGGCGCGGGCAGCGGCGGCGTCGAGGCCACGGCGACGGAGGCGCGGGGACGCGGCGGCGCGGGGCCGCGGCGAGGGAAGGCGCGGGCAGCGGCGGCGTCGAGGCCGCGGCTGCGGAGGCGCGGGGACGCGGCAGCGCAGGGCCGCGGCGAGGGAGGGCGCGGGCTGCGGCGGCGTCGAGGCCGCGGCGGTGGAGGCGCGGGGACGTAGTGGCGGAGGTGCCTGAGGCGCGGTGGCCTTAATGGTGCTAGGAACAGCGGCGGAAGGGCCGCGAATGCGGAGGGGAGATTGGCGGCGACTAGGTGGTCGCGGCGGCGAAAAATAATCCTGAGGGAAGGGTGGGCCCTTGGGAAGGAGTTTGGAGGAAGTTAAGAGTAGGCCTCGAAAGAGAGCTCTATACCATGTGAAAGATAAGGATTGAAGAGAATTAGATGATTCAACTATGAAAGCCTTGGGTTTACATAGTAGGAAAGAGAAGAGAGGTGGGAGCCAACATTATTGGAGGCCCACCAATAAGTTGGGTTGGGAATTATTGGAGGGCCTCCAATAATGTTAACCACTCTTGAGTTGGGTCAACATTATTGAAGGGGGACCAATAATGTTCCCAACCCAACCTTTGGGGTCCAATAATTTGGACCAAAGGTTGGGTCTCAACCCAACTTTAGGGGTAACCCTAGCTATACACCCAACCAGAAGTTGGGTGCTTATCTCTACCTGATCTAGAGAATATGAGTGCAGGTTACAAGAGAATGATAGTTTCTAACAGTAAGGACGCCGCCTCCATTGGTCCTTACCATGGTTTGACTTGGTCCCACTCCCAGCATTGCGACACCTCGGAAATTCACTGCCTCTCTCCCATTTCCATTCCTGTCCCCATTGCCCTGAGGGCAGTCTGCCAGTGCAGCGCGCACAAGTGCATTGGGGTGGAGTATAATAGGAATCCCACCTTCCCCCACTCCCGCCTTTTTTCCCCATCTATTCTGTCATCTCAGGTTGTTCCCATAGCCCTGAGGGCTGTCTTTCAGTGCAGCAGCGGGCAGAACTGCGGTGGGGCGGAGCGGTTCCCTGTGAGGGAACCTGTGGGGCAGAGCGGTTCCCTGTGGGGCAGAGCGGTTCCCTGTGCTGCATGCTTAATAATTAATTCCTTCTCATCTCCCCCATAATCCCCGCTCGCAGGTCGTCCCCATCGCTCTGAGGGCTGTCTTTCAGTGCAGCGGGCAGAACTGCATTGGGGCGGAGCGGTTCTTTGTGCAGGCCGGCATCTACGACCAGTTTGTGGGGGAGGTGGTATCTGTGGCGCAGCAGATGCGACTGGTAGGTGGCATACTAGTAGCAGCAGCTGTTTTGTCGTTTTGTGGGGGAGGTTTTATCTGTGGGGTGGAGAAGCGGACGAGACTTTCATTGTGAGGGATATAGAATGGATGTGGAAATGCTGGTAGTATCCGTGATGCGCCAGTTTGTGGGGGAAGGTAGTATCTGTGGCGTAGAGATGAGACTGGCGGGTGGTGGTACCTTGGCAGCAGACGATTTTTGTGGGGAAGGTGGTATCTGTTGCATAGCGCAGGAGATGAGACTGGTAGGTGTTATTGATTCGCTGGATGATGGAAGTTTGGGGGTGTAATGGTAAGCGCCTGTCTCATTCGCACACACACAAAGCCTGACACTGATTTTCAGAATACACCTATAATGAAAGGCGCCCGTGATAAGTGCACAGGGTACCTGACATAGGCGTAACTCGTGTGTTTTTTTAGAATTCTCAAAAAACATAAGTGCACAGGGTACCTTACATAGGCGTAACTCGTGTGTTTTTTGAGAATTCTCAAAAAACATAAGTGCACAGGGTACCTGACATAGGCGTAACTCTATAACCGACATTTGAGTCGACCCATCTTGTCAACGGTCCTCAACAATCCTCTCTTTTCCCCCCTCTCCTCCCTCCCTCTCTACCCCCCTTGTCGTCCATGTCCCAGGGTTACCCTTTGGCGGATGAACTGGAGGGAGATGAGCAAGATGGGATGAATGGAGGAAGGGAAAAGGCAACTGCTCCTGCTTCCCAGCAGGAAGGTGTGGGAGATGGAGAATTGGGAAAAGTAGCAAGAGGTGGGAATGAAGGTAGTGGGACACATCAGGAAAAGGGAGAGAGAGGAGGGAACAGTGGTGGTGCGGTTGGAGGGAGGGTGCAAGCGGGGGAGAGAGGGGGAGGGATGGGGGGAGAGTCCAGATCCACGTCAGCAGGAGCGGTTGCTGACATGGGCGCGATCTGCATGCCACATCATGTGCAGCGGCTTCAGCGATTGGTGGATGAGGCGGTGGGGCAGGGGGCACGGGTGGTGGTTGGGGGGAAGATACCTCTGGGAAGCTGTGAAGACCTCAGCTTCAGCCCCAGAGGGAGTGAGGCTGGAAGAGAGGGTTTGGGAGAAGCAGCAACAGCAGCAGCGGGAACGGCAGGAGCAGCAGGAGCAGCAGCAGCAGCGGGAACGGCAACAGCAGCAGCGGCGGCAGCAACAGCTTTTGAAGGAGCCCTCCCCTTTGGTTCTTCTTCCTCCGGCCGCCCGTCCCTAGGAGGCCAGTTCTACCCCCCCACCGTACTCGTTAATGTGCGCCCCACTATGCGCATACTGCACGAGGAAGTGTTCGGCCCTATAATGTGCATCGTAAAATTTGAAAATGACCTAGAGGTGGTGGCAGCTGCAAATGACTGCCCGTTTGGGCTCGGGTGTTCGGTGTTCTCGGGGGATAGGAGGCGGGCTGCTGCGATTGGGGCGGCAGTGCAGTGTGGGATGGTGGCGATTAATGACTTTGGATGCACCTACATGTGCCAGGTAACAAGTTCGTCATGTTTTTAGATGCGCAAAACAGGTATCCATCTGTCATGCATTGCTCCTACGTATATGCCTGCTATCGTCTTTCAGTCAGGTACCACCACATCACACTTCCACTCTCTCTCCTCTCTCGTTTTATTTCACTCTTCTAATCCCATCACTGTGCCACCCCTCCTCTCCTGTCCATTTCGCCGTTGAACCTCCGTCTCCCTCTCTGCAAACCCAATCAGTCACTGCCATTTGGCGGAGTGAAGGAGAGTGGTTTCGGCCGGTTTGCAGGGGTGGAAGGGCTGAGAGGGTGCTGTAACGAGAAGGCTATTGTGGAGGACAGGTTTTACTCACTCATCAAGACCAACATCCCTCCGCCTCTCCAGGTACGTGCTGCACTTGCTCTCCAGCCTTTTGACCCTGCATGAGTCGAATGCTCCACACTACCCTATTGTGGGGGACAGATTCTACTCTCATCAAGACCAACATTCCTCTACCTCTCCAGGTATATGCTATGCTCTATGCTTGTTGTACAACTTCTGAGGTGGGTGCTCCAGGCTACCCTATTGTGGAGGAAAGGTTTTACTCACTCATCAAGACCAACATCCCTCCGCCTCTCCAGGTATGTGCTGCCATTGCTCTAGCCTCTCTATCTCTCTGCTTCCCAGGATTCTTTGAAGAATCTCAATAATGGTCGTAAGCACAGTGCCCTCTAGCCCCCAACGCAGTGCCAGCAGGCTCTGGTGCGCATGTTCTTCGCCCACACCCTGCTAGCCCAGCTCTCTGTAGTATCCTGATCCGTCTCACTGTGCTGTTCCTCTTTATACTTCCCGCCCTCTCTCCCTTCACGTCCTTCCCCACACACACAGTACCCCCTGGCACCCAACGCAGTGCCAATCCAGCAGGCGCTGGTGCGCATGTTCTTCGCCCACACCCTGCTAGCCCAGCTCTCTGGTCTCTTCCAACCTTTTTCCCTGTCTTCCCTTTCCCCAAACACCCCTCAACTCTCCCTCCTCCCTCCCCCCCCCTCCCGTCCTCGTCCCCCCTCTCCTCCCCCCTCCCACATGCACAGTACCCCCTGGCCCCCAATGCAGTGCCATTCCAGCAAGCGCTGGTGCGCATGTTCTTTGCCCACACCCTGCTGGCGCAGCTCTCATCTTAATCAGCCCTTTGCCTTGTCCCTCTCCCTGCTCAAACCTCCCACCCCCCCCTACCCCTGCACAGTACCCCCTTGCACCCAACGCAGTACCATTCCAGCAGGCTCTGGTGCGCATGTTCTTCGCCCACACCCTGCTGGCGCAGCTCTCTGGACTCTTCCACCTGCTGCTGGAGCTCATGCGCTCACCCAAGAGGACAAACACACAGCAACGCCCAAGCTCGGCTGCCCATGTTGCTGGTGCTGGTGCTATGACTTCTGCTGCACGGCGCAATTCAGGTGTAGCTGCGTCAGGTGGTGAGAGGCCACATAATGAGTAGAAAATGCTGTTTCGTAGGACAAGGTACATCTTAGTGTTGGACAAGCTGCAGTCAGCATCCTGTGGCTGTAACAGAAACAGTTGGGAATTTTTGTAGTAGGTCAGAGATTGTAACAAATTTTGTTTCAGGGCCCTTGAAGTGCGGCATTCTCAGGCTTGTGTCAGGCTTTCTGAAGTCAGCAGCAAAAGAAAAAATTTCCACATCAATTGCTGTTGACACCAAGCCATGTTGCCAAGCACAAGAACTGAGCCTCATCACCAGGCCGTCTGAGATTGGGTGCAATCCTGGAGGAATGTAGCCAATTCTGGTTCTGGAGGTTGGCAGGCTGACAAGCTTGTTGACAGACTTATTCTTAATACAGTAAGTATATTCTACAGTACACCATGCCTCCTTACTTCTTCTGCAGAGAGGCAAGCAGCTGGCCAGCACCGAAAGCAGCAGCTCCGCCAAACGCACACAACAAAGAAACCACAACCTGAGCGACAATCAAGCCAGTGCTGTCATCAGGAACGAAGTACACGAAAGCAGGGCCAGCGAGAAGCAGGAGGAAGGCGATGGCTTGAAGAGTGCCAGGAGTGGACCGGTCAGTGGCAGCAGAAAGGATACCAAACTCCTCAGCCTTGGAGAGAAGGCCGAGCTCCTCAATGGCTGTCAATGAGAGGCCGAAGGACTCTGCGAGTGAGAGGAGGCCTGCTTGCTCGGCCTTGGAGAGCAACCGGAGATCCTCCACGCGTGAAAGGAGGCGGATTTCTGGGTCCGAGCCTACGACCTTGCCGCGAACGCCGCCAGTCTTGTCCTCGCCGAAGAGCTCAACGACCTTGACCTGCAGGTAGGAGGGAAGGGTTAACTTGGGACGTAGAAATGAGAGGTGCTCCAAAGCTCTGGGTGAAGATTGCTGTGGTACCTTAGTTACTATCTTGACATTGCCTTTTCACTAGCAAGCAACGCCGCAGGTGGAGCCGTTAGTTCTTGACTGTGGTAAATATATCTCTTTTACTCGGTGTATCAATTGCGACTCGATCTGAAAGTAGCGCGGACCGTCTAACAGTGAAAGATGTTACGGCTCTGTGTTTAATCAGGCACGTTACCCGGCTGTATCTCCTGAACTGATATCAACGTCGCGACCTCTAATTGGGAAAAACCTAATGAGCACATGGTGAGGAGAGGACTGACGAGTGGTGCCTCATCAAAGCAGGGTAAGACGGCGGGGTAACGAGAGGGAAAAACCCGGAATATGATAAAACAGTGTCAGTGAAGACGTATGGACTGTGTAGCATGCACATAAGATGCAGAAAATGCATTTCAGGGGATAAGACATGGATGAGTTCGGTTTTCTTCAATAATCCAGTGCAGAAGGCAATCAATGGAGGAGATAAAAGACCAAATGAAGGAGTCGTACATTTCTTAAGATCTTGGTCCCAGCGCGAACTGTAAGGTTTCTCCTAGCCGGAGCTGCCTCGAGCTTCGGAAGGCCAACAGCGACAGGGGCCGCGAGGAAAGAGCTGCGAAGGACGGCAGAAGCCATTGTGAGCTTGTTCTGAATAATCTCTAAGAACGTCAAGTGACTATCAGAGCGTTAGTCAGAACAAGTCTCAATGGTGTCAGTCAAGGATCAAGAATTAATCCTGAGACTGTTGGAAGTGAGTGATAAGAAATTGCTATTTTCCTCCGCTGTGCCATCGAAGTCAGTTGGGGGAGACTGCTGTGCTGACCTCTCTCGATGGAAAGCTCAGGAGGTTTGGGGTTGCTTTGAGGTCTGGCATGCCTAACCACCAGTGAAACATGGCTTGGGCAGGTACGGTTAGAGCTTAACCTTCATGTTTCACGCTTCACCCAGACATCTTGAGGCTGGTAACGGCTGACAAGGCCAACGAATCGGCTCGATAGTAGGTTTGGAAATTCGCCAGGAACTAGCTGGGGGAAAATTGGTGGGAGGTATTCCGCGGGGAAGGGAGGGGGGACCCTCATGGTCAGGAAATGTCGACGTGGCAGAAGAGAACTGGGCATTGCGTGGTTGCCGCTAGTTCTGGATTGCTGGGCATCTGCTGGAGTGGCACAGAAAGTCGCAGCGCGCCTGGGATCAGGCCCTCCGCTGCAATTGGTGTTTCCAGGATGCCGATGTGAGCCACCTTTCATCGCGTGACAAGTGTGTGAGGTGCTTGTACTCTTTCGGAGGTGCTTCCTTATTAGTTTTAGAACCTGAGTGAAAGTGAAAATGAACACCACAGTAATCTAGTAGTCATGGCGGTGTCCTACAACACCAACACCACAACATCCTTGCTCGGTGCTGGTACAAACAAGGCCATTCCATCGACACCAAGGAGGATAGGATGTAAAAAAACGCAAAAGCTTTCCAAAAGATGCACATCAACGATTAGCTTTAATTATTTGACTAGCTACCTTATAATGAATAACCTCTAGAGCCTAGTACCCCAAAGTATCCCGCAAAGACATTAGAGCACTGACTGAAGAGGGGGCAAACTTGCGTGCAAACAGAAAACACGGGGCTCGCTCTCCAGCAACTCTGCATGGACCAGGAAAGGCGACATCTAAAAGGCCGACATTCTCTGACACTGCAAAATGACGCCTTTGCATCCTCTCTATCAACGCCGCCGTCACACTGCTCCCAGAATACATTAACGGGTGCTCAGCCTTGTAATGTGGCCAATCCACATGCATGACTGAGTGAGGTTCTATGCCTCTACGATCATATCCCCAGACCACTGTCTGAATGTAGCCCTCATCAGGATATTCCCCTCTGCCCCTGCCGAAGGTCACATAGTACTTCATATCTTCCACCACTAACGCTGCATGCGGGCGTGTCAGCACGAACCACTGAGAACCTTTTCTAATCTGCCATGGATGGATAACCTGGCGTGGCATGAATATCCAGAAATATCGTGGAAACCTCCACCAGCGAAGCACTGGAAGGACTGCCAGGAAGCTTCTATCCTCTGCGAAGAGGTACTCGTAAATAAAATCAAAACTCCGGATGGAAATGCAGGCCTCTGACAGCAGCACGAACCGCTGATTGACTGGATTCTCGAGCCCTGCTGCAAGAAGCCGCCTGGTAGCTTGAATCATCGACGGCATCCCCCTTACAATCCTCAATCCTGGAATCTGGGTTCCCCAGAATACACTGCCTTTCCCAACATGTGCATTCACGTCCCAGCCCTCTGTCGCTGCATGGACATAAATTGAGGCACGGTCCATGTTCCCACGGAAAAACTCCTCCCAGAGAGGCTGAAAGGGAAGAGGCCCTCGAGTGAGGAACAAGAAGGCGATTTTAGGCAGCGTCCCGTTAGGCAGGAGGTTTGATGGTGTAAATGTAGCCGAATGCTGCTTCGTCTCAATCACAGCTGCAACCGTCCTATTATTGGCATTTCCCTTTCTCTCCAAGGCTTGAATCGACAGCTGGCTGAGGTGTGAATGGTCCTCATAATCCTCCTCCTCCTCTTCTCCACCCTCCGTACCCCCTATCTGATGGTGTTGAAGCCGTAGAAATGCCGGTAACTCGGTGATAGGAACCAGTTGATTGACAGGCGGTACGAATTGCCGCTCTGTCTCCATGGCTCGCTGAATCAGCATGCTGTCCGCTTCATCGAAGAATGTGTACGAGAACCAATAAGCGGTGAACAGCTGCCAGAACCCCACAGCCGCGAAACAGTAGAAAATTGCTCCGAAAATGAACAGGCACCTGGTGCATGGCGGTGTCGTTGCGACAAGAATACGGAGTTTTGAGATGTAAGCTCCTGAAACAGGAGATTGATGTGGAGATGGCATTTGATCCGAAGACCCTGCTCGGTGTCTGCTATACTGGCCTCCTGGCCTGACTCTACCCGGACCTTGACGACTGATAAGCTTTTCGTGACCGTGCGATCTAGTCGATTGGTCTTGCTGCTGCTGCTGATGCGGATGCTGCTGATGTGGATGATGGTGACGTATATCTACGAACGAATCACGCTTGTTCCCCGTCGTTATTCTGTCTTGATTGAATGTAGACTGCGAAGGTTCTAACTCGTACGGTTGGCGTCGGTGTGAAAAGTCGCTGTTTGCTGCAGGGACCAGAACGGCCGCTTCAATTGACTGCCCTGCCTGGGCTTCTTGATCAAATAAGGTAGTTCCTAGTCGTCGCTTCTCTGCCATCCGGGAAGTAGAGTCAGAAACGCCAATTCAGCTAGAACTTCTCCAATCACGACGCAGAAAACCGTCCCAAGGACCCCTGAGCTTCTGAATATATTAAACTTCATGGAATTGGCCGACGACCAGGCACTTGAGAGCAACTATTTTGAAGACTTCGAAGGAAAAACTAGCCTGTCCAGAGCGGAAGATACGAACTAGAGGTTGGGTTTCATGGGGGTACCACTGCCGGGCAGCCTGGTAAGGAGGGTTCTACCGTACCGTGCCGTGAAATCAAACGTATGAGAATCTTGGGCGGGTTTGAGCGAGACAGTACCCTTGATGGCAACGAACATAAAGCATTTGTTACAGACGAATTGGCGACCTCATCCATTCGTCGTCACGACACCGTAACCAACAATGACCGTTTGAGAGGAGGGAGCCTCTCCCCTTCGCGGAAATATGCGCTCGCAGCAGGACAACCACCCCCTTTACCAAAAACAGGCTAACGAAACAAAGCAGCAATATTTCGTCTTCGTGAACCATGGCCCTTCAGTTTGGCAGGACTCTCACCCTAAGCCCAAATTGTCCATGAACGTCCTAAACTTATCTCAGTGGAAAAGTTCAGGGGATTCAGGCTTGCAGTAGTGCTTTCTCTTTCTCCTTTCCTGCTACCTGTTTACAAGAAATTAGTCATATTTTCGGTGACCTATGGAGTCGGAACCAGCCAAACGGTTCAAATCAGGTGATCCACAGGCGCCAGCGTCCTCTGATGATTTCGAGTGTCGCCGATATTTGACACCTGAAGGTTGCCCTTTCGGCGACAGATGCCGTTATCGCCATGGTGCTGAGGGTATGGATGTCTTTGATGTTTTCCGCATGACATTGGTCTTCATAGGCTAATAGGTGCTAAATCGTGCCTTCCTGCTTTGGATGGTGATAATACAACATTTCAGATTCAAGGGATTTGTTCCCCGACTCGAAGGCGAAGCCTTGCACGAAATTCTTCAGGTGATTTTCTGTTGAACCGATTATTATACACAACCACGCGCTTTGTGTCCTCGCTATATGAGCTTAACTTACATTGTTTCCCTGCTTCATTTTACAGCACTTCAGGCTGTCCATACGGCGAAGAATGCCATTTCCAACATTACGTCCCTGGCGGTATATCAGCGCTCGGGATTTCACCAAGACCCATGCCTCCTGGAATACCCGGATCCGGAGGCCCTTGGCCACCTGCCGGAAGCCCTATGGGAAGAGGACCAGGTTCAGGCAGGCTCGGAGGAGTACACGACGGAGACGCTTCCAAGATCTGCAGACGTTTTACGGCACCAGGTGGATGCCGTTTTGGTGACCGTTGTCATTTCTCGCATGTAGAGCCTGATGCGATGGCCAGATCCCGTCCTCCTGGCCCAGGTATGGGTGGTCCAGGAGGGAGAGATTTTCTGCCTGGCGACGGATACGGATCGGACTCCAGATATGGTGGTGGCCAATGGGAAGGACCTGGTGGGTATAAAGGAGGGGGTGGTTTACCCATGGAGCCGGTATCTCCTGGGAGAGGCGGAGGAGGTCCCATGGGACCCGCATCTGATTTCGGATCTACAACAAGTGCGAAGATCCCCATTGACGCTTCGCTCGTCGGTGCTATAATAGGGAAAGCCGGTTCTGTAATTAAGCAGATCCAGAGGCAGTCAGGAGCGAGGGTAGCTGTTCGGGACCATGAATCGGACACCAATCTTAGGAATGTCGAAATGGAAGGATCACTTGAGCAGATTGAGTACGCGACAAGAATGGTTCGACAGCATTTGGCGGAGAGAGCTAATCAAGGCCCAGGAGGAGGTGGGGGTGGATTTGGCTCTGGTCCCCCGCGTGGGGGTGGTGGAGGAAGGGGACCTTCCAGCCTTGGTCCGCACAATTACAAGACAAGGATGTGCGAGAAGCTTGAGGCTGGGACCTGCACTTTCGGGTCTCGCTGCCACTTCGCTCATAACCCTGATGAGCTTCGATCTGCTCCTTCAGGAGATTAAAAAAGGTGAGATTTCATCTGGTAAGTTGTCAATTTAACTGTTATGCATCAGTAGGATGTCATGTGTCTGTTCTGGAAATTCACAATTTTGGCAACATGACGCAAGAAGGTGATTTCTGCAATTTCTCACATGCATTTGAAGAAATCATTTTTCACAAAGGGCCTGCTAACATTACTGGGCGATGCGTTTAACACATCAAATTTGTGACTTGCAGTGACGGATCAAGGGCGTACAATATTCAATCCAGAACAATTTAAAAGACGAATAGTGTTCTGGATGAATCAGCAGTTTCTTGCAATTCATGAATGACGTCACTCAAGAAAGCTTCTGCAAGAATTCAGAATAAATGGCAAAATCCAAGCCGGAGCAGAACCAGGACATCGTATTGTACTGTAACACCGTAGAAGGACAGGGAATGTACTCGAGCAGGCTTAGCAACCAACAAGCCAGCTGAACGAAAGTGTGATTTGCATTTAGGTTTTCCAACGAAGTACTTTAATAGTGGGCGCCAACATTAGGGTGTTAAATGCTGGCAAGAATTTCAAATTTGGCAGTTGAAGTGAATGGCTGGGCTTTTTAGCCTAAGCTGGTGTGGGAAGTGAACCTCTGATTACAGAGTTGCTGGGCTGACCTGTGCGAAATCAATAGTTGTACCAGTTGCACGATTCTAGGGTCTGGGCAGCTGGAAACCTGAGGGGAAGCAACTTTTTTTTCTCTAATCATGTGTGCTGAAATCTTCGTTTTTCCTCTTTTCGAAGCATTAGAATGTGGTTGCCAAGTGTTTTAGTTGCTTGTGAACAATATGTTTCCTAACTGGTTCATTTTGTGAGAAAGATCTCCAGATTCTTTTTTGTGTTGACCTCATTTTCTGGCAATATTTGTCAAACCGGTACTACATTCTCACGGTATTTGTCTGTAAGCATGCATGGCTTCTGCGCTGTTTGGTGAGAAGGTGTTATGCATAGTTCCTGGCTCTTACATGGACGGAAGTCTTATCTAGCCCAATGAACGAATTGACAGGAGAACCAGGGGTGGGATGCACTTGCTTGCATTGCTCTTGATGCCACGGCCTAGAAAACATGCAGAGTTGCACCAGTCACATCAGGATCAAGAGGTGCATGCATGCAGGACCCACCACCATCAGCATACTACACACCACGTGACCATGCCCTGCCCAGCAAGTTACGGTACATGCAGCAACAGTCATCCCCTCCCCAGACCAGCTACCACACATGCAGCTACATCCCACACTAGTACAGACACCTTCTGCTTCTCTCCTTATGTGTTGGTTCAATACACTTGGCACCTGCACAGCACATCTGCAAGATAAAACTTCGTGCTGTCTGAGCTTAAGGCCAGTGACCATACCGTATTCTTTCCACCAGATCCTATATACCCTATTTAGGTTTAGCTCTGCTACAAAAACGATCTAAAATCGAAATTAATTTGAAAGGGTTATTAGACTGTAACAAGGACATCATCAAACTGCAGCCTGGATGGATGTCATGACTTGAAGCTAGGCACTTGTGCCTCAGTGCACCAGGCCTCGCGAAGCTGTACTCACAGCCCCACTCCTCACAGCCGCAATAGCTTAGTCCACATGCACATGCATGTTGATCAGCCTTTCGTACAACCCAGGCCCTCCCAAGTTTACTGTATCCATTCCCTTCACCCATATCTTCAATTCAATTAAACATCACTTCTCATGCTACATCATCCACGCAACTTCCGAACTGG